CTTCTGCCCAAAGCCACTGGCATCTTAGAGGTTGCCAGGTTATTTAACAGCCAGCCAGCACTCGGCATTAATAGTTGCAGGTAATGCAATCTGCTGACTTGTTTTAGCATCAGTCCAATATTCTTAATTCCCTGACCATGAGGCTTTGGTAGGTATTTAACTATCTGTGTGTGTCCTCGGTGATGTCCTTATTGTTTCTAATACATTCGTATAGCAGCAATGTGGCTTGGTACACTTTACTTCCTAAGAGCTATGGAGAACTCTTCTTCAGTTGCTGGTGTATCTCCACATCCTGCCTATTTCAATCCTAACATTCCATCATGGTAATCATGGGCGACTGGTACCTCCTAATATTGCTGAAAAGCCAACTGCCAACCGGTGGGGTGGGGGTCCCCCAGCGGCTGATCTCCAACCAGGGGGCCAAGGGCAGAGGGAGAAAAAAATTGCGCATGCTCAGCCCTCCTCCCCTGGCCAAAAGTCTGTGGGGGAAGGGGTGGGGGGAGGGGAACGGGCCATAGCAGGTGGAGGGAGCAAGGGTGGGGCTGGCACTGGTAAGGGATTGGGCTCAGAGGCAGGGCCTGCTGCATCTGTGTGGCTGCCCCTTCCCCCGCACCAGGGGTCATTGCCTGGCACTGGCATCTACTGCCCCCCAGCCCTGCACTGGCCCTGGCTGCCTCCCCATGCTGGCCTGGTCCAGCCCCAGCCTTGCACCACCCAGGGGGCGTCTGGAGCTGGAGCAGGGTCAGTCTCGGCTCTGCCGCTGGGCCAAAGGAGACGGTGCCCCCAGGAACCCCACCTCACCCCGCCCCGTCTAAGTCGTCTCTGGGAACAGTCTGGCGGCTCTTGCAGAGTTGTGGCACCGCGGAGCCAAGGAGGGCACATAGCACGCCCCCCCGCCCCCGATCTTTGCACAGGATGAGGGTGGGCTGCAGCTGCGAGGCGAGCTGGGCTCTGCCTGCTTCCCATCTCGCTGCAGCCTTTGAAAGCGGCACACCGCAATGTGTGTCCTGCCACTGGGGGGGCTGGGTAGCGAGGCACATGGCATTGTGCTGCACTGCTTTCAAAGGCTGCAGCAAGGCATGGAGCAGGCAGAGCCCACCTTGCCTTGCATTGAAGCCCGCCCTTGCCCCATACAAAGATTGGGGGGACATGTGCCCCCCCCGGCGCCCTGGT